AAAAGTGAGCGTTACAGAGAGTCCTCCAAAAAGAGTTGTTGTGCATGTTCACTATTATCCACAAAAGTGAACACGCGCAAGAAGGTAGCCTCTGCGTGTTCACTATTTCTAGCAGAAGTGAACACGCGCATGACATTAGTAAGGGAAGCTTCTGCGTGGCTACTATTTTCAACAAAAGTGAACAGTTTAAAGTGCGCGTGGCTACTATCACCAGCAAAAGTGAACACGCGCAAGTGGAAATGAAGAATTAGCCTCTGCGTGATTATTATTGCTGGCAAAAGTGATCACGCCAGCAGAGCGGGAATTCTATAAAAGACAGTTAGCTCAGGAATTTAAGAGTTTTTTTGTTCATTTTTCATTTTTCATTTTCCATTTGTTTTTGTTGTTGAGAGAGTCAAAGAGGGAGATTTAGGACGAACACCAAGCTTCATTTCTTGAGGGATTAGATTGGAGATTGGCTTGAAGATGTTTCTTCTTTGTTCATTCTCTTCTTCTCTTCTCTTCTCTTTTTGTAATGTTTGTTTAAACTCTTTGTGGTTAGGAACTGTGAATCTGAAATAGAAATGTTGAATTGATTTTGGATCTAAACTTTGAGTTTTGAATTGGATTGAGTGATTGATTCTACTGTTAAAGTAGTGATTGAATGAAAATTTGATCAACTAATCATAGAGGAACTCTTATCAATAGGAATTGAATTTGTTTCTCAGATCTAAATTAATTGCCAAGGTTATTGGTTTCTTAGGGATAAAATATCTTAATCTTGCAATCTTTTGGTTTCTCAAACTTAATGCAGCATTTGATTGGATTAGATCTAAGGGATTAGAATGATTTGATTAGATGCTAAATTCATTGAGGCAAGGGATTGTCCTTTGATTAATATAACGTGAAACTGATTGTCATTCCATCTAAATGCTTGAAAGTTCAGAACTTTATTGATTCAATGTTGAAGTTTTGGTGAAACAATTTCCTAACTACTCTTTCTACATCTGTTTACTATATACTTTTATGCTAACTGTTCTATTTTACTTTCTAATTTTGTTTTTGATACATTCATACCAAATCCATCTGAAATTTGTAAAGCTCAACTAATTGTGATCTTGTGAAGTGGTAATTGAGAACTTTATTCCCTGAGGACGATACTTGGAACTCAATTTGATTCTAAGATTTTTTACAACTTGCTACAACAACACTAGTACACTTGCTAGTTAGTTTACTTTCAGTGCAACAGCAGGTGTAAAAGTAACAACACTCATTCACACTTAGCATTCACCACCCTCATTTTCTCTAAATTTTCTAAATTTTCTCTGGACTCTATACCCTTAGTGTATCTTTGTACTATCTAAACTCACCACCAACATTTCTCATTCTTTTTCATATCCTTCTCACAGCTTAACATGTCATAATATGTGAGTCATGACCACATAACTAGGTGTATTACAATACATGTATTATGAATACAACCTCTAGGTGTACCACAATACCTATATTATAATCACATCCATAAATCATTTTAACTCCCGTATTATAATCACTTTTCTCACAATTCCACCATCATGTCACATCATTTCATTTCATACATCAAACTATATCTTCATTCAAGAATAATATAACACTCTTCATTAATAACCTTATTCAATCAATTTTCACATATTTCAATTATCAACAAATATACATTTAACACAAAAAATCTTCAAACAAGTCCATACATCACACAGATCAATACAATATGTCAGAAGTCAAATACCTTTGGACTCAGCCCAATCGTACAACTTAACATACACATTTTCTCAATAATAATAAGGTCGTTTATCTTAAAGTTTGGCATAATTCATTATTAATAATATGTCCAAGATTCCAAAAACATCAAATAATAAATCTTAACTATTCCTAAACAATGTTTACTTAGTAAAATCATAATATTCTTCTAAGATAGTTTTATTTAGAGCCTTTACTACAAGTTACATTTAGATAGTTATGAAAGTAAGTAAGGATTTTTCAATTCAAACTACCCAAGAGAAGTTAGGGTTTGGGATCAACTCCCCTTACCTTGGAATGAAGACCCACCACAAAATCAAGGGTAGAAATGTTCCATACACGGAGTTTTGCCCTAAATATATGAAAAATTCCATGAGAAATCAAAAGGATAAGGAAAGAGGCGAAAATCGAAAACACTAGCTCACAATACTTACCTCCAAACACAATTCCAACCTTCGATTTAGGGCACAAATAACTTAAGAGGCAATTTGATTAGTGAAAAAGGGCTAGGAATTGAGAGAATCGAGAGAGAAATGAAAGGGAAGGTGGAAAATGCGTCTTCCCTAATCCTAGATTCCTTAAATACCCAAAGAGTCGTGACATTCTCACTATAGAAAAAATATCAGGCTAAACTACAACATGATTTTTGCATAATCTCGCTACAGCGAGCCCCTTTCGCTACAATGAGATTGCACCCAGAAAATACCCTCTCTCTGTTGTCCTCTCACTACAGCAAGAACGCAACAGATACACGACACTTGCCCAGAACCTTCTCACTACTGCGAGAATCCTCTCACTATAGCGAAAATGTACTTGCAACACACACTTAGCCTATTTCTCAATCAATTCCAAATACAATCGCAAGTTCACATTCACATTTCAACTATAATATACACATATACACACTTTTTAATAATCAAAATATTATTATAAAGTTTGGAATGTTACAATGTATATTAGTCTATTTTGATCATTTTAAATTTATCTTGTCTTATATTTAATAATACTTTTCTAATGATGTAAAATAGTATGTTTGTAAACATGGAGCCATGCCATTTTTAAATAAGTTCAAATGTCATTTTTATAAATATGTAGTAGCAATATAAATATAAATATAATATTTATTTAAAATGGATATTCTACATTCATATTCCTACATATAAACATACACAATTATATATAAATGCATTTATAATAAAATATAAGAATTTTTTTTCATAAAATAATACATGCTTCTTACTTTTGAAAATATTTTCTTAAGGTTTATCTTTTATTTTTCAATTTTTTAACTCATAACATCATTTATTATTTAAGTTATATTAATTTGTAGGACCTTGAATTGTTTAAAAAATTTAAAAAAGTACTTATGCTTTAAAAGCTTATAAGTTTGTGAACTTTTAAATTATTTCTAATTAGGTCTCAATTGCATTTTTGGTAATGCTTTGTTAAGTACATGGATCTAATTAATAACATGGACTTATTGAATAATTATTCTGTGACTTAGTACATAACTAGTTAAATATTTTTAATTAAGTCTTTATACTTAATAGAATCTTAACTTAACAAAGAGACCCAATCAAAAATATTTAAAATTTAGAGATTTAGTTACTAATTTTTTAAGGATTTAAGTTTGTTATAATGGAAGAAGGGCCAACCGATGGAGAATTCGATAATTTTTTTTTAATTCACTGTGAGTCATTTTGGATTCTAAGGACGATGAATCATAAGTGTTCAATATTTTGGAAATAACGAATCCTGGGCTTATGTTTATGGTATAGAATCATGCTTGTGATTTAGTTGTCCAAAGTTAGATCGGTGGGGTATGGTAGACAAATCTTGTGTTTATATTTACATAATTACATAATAAAGAAAAAAAGTGTTTGCAAAATTTATTAGAACTTAAAATATCTCTTTCTCATTAGTATTTGTGATGCAATTTTGAATAGCAGGATTGCACCCAACGATCATGGAAACGTCCTTATGGGGTTGGTCTCTGGTAGCTGGATTAGATGAATATAGAGCTCAACTCTATTATAATTGTCTGAGTAGAAATTATTTTGACTATCAGGCTTTTGTAATTGGCTCTCGCTCCCAAACTGCAAAGACATATTTGGAACACAAGTTTGAGAACTTCACGAGCTCCTGACAAGAAGATTTTATCAAAGATGCACTTATTGCTACTAAGGAGTACGTGTAAGGTAAAAAACCTGGTAGTTCTATATGCACTATTGTTGTGGTTGGAGTTGGTGAGCCATTCCATATTTTGGATCAAGAAACTGTTCAACAGTTGATTGATTCTTTTGAGATTGTAAGGGAGGAAGGAGAGCCTCTAGTTGAATCTCAGCCAACGACTAAGCAAAGTGTTGCCATAGATCAAGGTGATATTGAAAGGGCAAAAAAAAGCTTCAATCAAAATGACATTGTTTAATCATTCAAGGTGCCACGTTAACTTCCAAAAACAACATCGTTCTTGTCAATTGAACTTCTAACATAACATTTAACGTAACAACTCAACTTTCTGTTGTTGTTTCTTAATGGAGTTTAAGTTTAAGGACTAAAGTGAATGATAGAGAAAAAAGTTGAGTACTAACGTGACATTTTAAATATTTTTGTGACTAAAATATTAGACTCAAACTCTTTAAAAAAATAAAGTGAAGATTTAGTCATTTTTTTAAATATAAAAAATTTAGTTAACTTAATTAAATAATTTATAAAGCTAAAATTAATATAATCATAATTTTATTTAAAATAGAAATTTTATTGAAATCAAAGCTTTTATAATAATAATAATAATAATAATATGTCATGAATCGATAGAATTTATCAGGATTACATGATAAAAGCAAAAAAATGATGACATCGTGTGCAAAAGAAATGATAACATCGTATATTGCAATTATATCTTAAATTGAATATGTGTGGAATGGAAAATAATCATGTTTAGTTTAAATTAAAAAGTGTAATTAGTTTATATAACAATTTAACTTTTAATTCAAATGACAACCTCAAAATATTGTAGGACGTTAATCAAATTTTATTATAATTATCTTTCACTTATTCTACGTATACTTATAAATAAATGATATTTCTATATTTTAATATTTTATTTTATTTATTTGAGAAACAGCTGCGAGAGATTTTACTTCCCTCCGTTCAGTTTCGAACGAACCTTTCCCGCCTTCCCCAAAATAAAAATAAAAACCCCTAATGTTAAACCCCAAATGCAAACCAAGAAAAAGAAAACAATGAGTTCATGGCAGATTCCCTCCCTCGCCCCAAATACTGGCCACTGGGAAGCCACCCAAGACGCTTCAAATGTTTCACCTTTGCCTCCTTCCATTCCCCTCCCTTCCATGCTCGATCTCCTTCTCCAAGGTTCCATATTTTCATCTCAATTTCTATTTTCAATAACATGATTATTTCCTTCTTCTAAGTAGCTTGTTTCGAACAGGTACTCCAACTCTTCCTAGCCACGACGCTGTTGCTCGCGGTATTGCTAAAATAATTCAAAATAGCAAATTTAATAATCCAAAAACCTCGTTATTATTATTAATATTATTCTTTTTTTAAATGTATGTGATCCCTACATTGCAGGTGAAGAGCTCGCAATAGAAGATAGTTTCAGCTTCTCGAAATCTCTTTTTAAGACGGGCTCTGGAAAAAGAGTTATTATATCTCCTAACGGTATAATTAGAGCAAAGACATTACTAGACAGTGTTGATAGCAGTATCCAAAGTTCTAAGTGTGCGAATAAAGTGCACGTGATTGGTGAGGCTGAGACATACGGCAAGCCTCAACAACAACAGCATAATGTTATCAATAGTCCTTCAATTGGTGGTAGTCATCTATTGAAGAATGGTTTTGAAGAAAGAGTTCTGCAGCAAGATGCATATCATGCTGGGATTAAGCAGGCTCCGATTAAATTCCACACTGCAGGTGGAAGGTCTATATCCATTTCTAATGATGCGCTGCAGCGTGCTCGGAGCCTTCTTGGTGACCCGGACGTGGGAGATTTCTTCGAAGGAGGGGGTTTTGGCGATTTGAGTTTTTCATTTCCATCAAAAAGAGGAAGCACTGCTGCTTCTGCTTCTGCTTCGTGTAGTAACGAAAGAAGTGGTTGTAATACTCCTTTGGGTCGTCAGGTAGCATCTGAGAGCAATTATGTGACCAAGAGTTTCACGTACCCGTTGCAGTCTTCTAGACAAAAAGACTTGTCAAGCAAGTTTCTTGATGAGGGTAATGGGAATAACTTAATCGCAAAATTTGATGCTGTTGGGGATGAGAGCGGTTATAGCTGGAAAAGTATCAATACTTGTGGAAGGAAACCCTTGTGTTACAGGAACCAAGCTTCGGATTCAGTTGTGGGTCGTTCTTCGTTGAATGGTTTTTCTTCAAAAGTCGATTCATGCAGTGTGTCGTTACGCAGGTCATTGGTTGATATTTCCAATGTCATTAACACTGTTCAATCTAACAATAGACAGCATCCTAGTGGAAAAAGGAGACTAGGATTGCGTGTAACTGTTTCTCCCTTTAAAAAGCCTCGTAGTTCCAAAAATTCAGTCACTTCTGACAACGTTGCTGAAAATTCTGCCAATGGTAAGCATAGGTTAAGAGTCTTTAGTACATTCCTTCCATTTTCGTTATTTTCAATACCTAATTGAGGTATTTTATCTTAAGATATGTCTCAATTTCCCTCTGATGTCTCTGGGTCCGAAGGAAAGGTTTCTACCCGATATCCGTTTCAGTATCCAAGGATTTACATCAAGGAATTTTTAGCTGTGCCTCCGTTGGAGAAGATAGTGGTGAGTGCAATCTGTATATTTCGGCTAGGAGCTGATTCTCTTGGGGCTGACAACACTTTGTGCACTAAAATGAATTTTGTTTCAGCATTTTCCCAACCTGAACAGTCAGGTCACATCACTTAATGCAGAAAAGTATGTGTTTCATGAAGGGTCTGGTGATAATGGTATGGGAGCAGAAGCTTTTGTTCATCTATTGGTTCACCATGGAGCTTCCATGCATTTTGCGACTAAAGAGTAAATTGTCTCTACCCTGAACTTTTGCTTCCAGTATCCATGGAACCTGCTGAGGAGTAACTTTGCTATGTGATTTGTTGATTTGTACTAAGCTAGGTCAGTTAGCTAGTTGAAGTATGTCCAGAAGTCATTGCAACCTGTTACATTCAATTGTTATCTGGATGACATGGAATAAATTGTTGAGTTTAAGCTGCTTTATGGTTCAATTTAATACTTGTAGGGGAATTTGATACTTACAGTGCTCTTTGGTGTTTTTCATATTGTATTATTCAGTGCACTTTAACATTGCTTTTAGCTTAGTTTTACTTTTCTATTGCACATCTCTCTAGGTGGGTCATGAATCATTACAAGTGGATTGTCTGGAAATTGGCATGCTATGAGAGATACTATTCAACTAGGTCTGCAGGAAAATTTTTGACTGTATCAAATGTGCTTGAGGAACTGAAGTACAGGTATGCAACTGCTCAAGTAACATATTTTGGGTCTAGAAAAGTGATAAAACTTATGTCGACATTTGGTGCTTAGATATGAAAGAGAAGTGAATCATGGCCACCGGTCTACCGTCAAGAAAATTCTAGAAGGGGATGCATTACCTTCTTCGATGATGATTCTCTGCATTTCTAGCATTCACTCCAATTATGTCCCGGAAAATGGGAATTTTATGGAGACACAGAGAGTGGCTCATAAAACTGAAGCAGTAAAAGTTGAACTAACAGATGGGTGGTAAGAATTTTGACTTACTTGCTGTCTGATTGCAAGATATATATATGAGGTTACATGACATACAGAATGATTTTCCCTTTCAGGTATTCGATCAATGCCATTTTAGATGTTCCATTGTCAAAGCAACAAGCTGCTGGAAGATTGTTTGTAGGACAAAAGCTTCGGGTAGTGTGTTGTCTGCACTTTGTTGTTTATCAGTTTATCTTTCCTTGATTATAACACTTCAGTAATGTTGGATTCTGTTTGTATATATGCCTCTTTCAGATCTGGGGAGCAGGATTATCTGGTTGGAATGAGCCAGTTTCACCCCTTGAGGTTTTCTATAGCTCAATTATGAGTGTGTGTGCGTGCGCTTGCATATATATCCTCTCAGATGTCTTCCTCTGATTCTGTTCCAATTTCAGGTATCGTCGACGGTTAGTTTATTGTTGCACTTGAATGGAACATATAGAGCTCACTGGGCTGAACGGTTAGGATTTTGTAAGCATCTTTCACTAAGTGGATTGTGGATGTTTAAGCTGTCATATTTTACAGAAAAGTGGCATCTTGTTCTTTGAGCTTATCTTCTTGAGCTAATACTGCAGGTAAAATTCCTGGTCCACCTTTGGCTTTTAGATGCATAAAAAGCAATGGCGGTTTAATCCCACAAACTTTGGCTGGAATTACCCGCATATATCCCATTCTTTACAGGGAAAGGTAACTTATAATAAAGTATATCCTACAATTTTACTTGAAATATGTACAATAAATTACTTTTGAGAAATATAATCTAATTATGCAATGAAGAAGTTCGACATAATTGTTTTCCTCATTAGATTAAGCAGTGGACAGTCTATTGTCTTGTCAGAGCGGATGGAGAATAAAATGACGGAGTTGTACAATCAGAGGTGACTTCTCAGATTATTCATCTATCTCTTGTTATTCGTAAGAAGAAATCACTGCTGCCCACTATCTTAAATTCTTGATACTCCTTCCTCTATCTCCTCCTTTTACTTCGATTTTTTAGTTTAGGAGAAGAGAATGATTTCTTTTTTCATTATTCAATCAGAGAATTACAGAGAGAATAAATAGTAGAGGCAGAATCATTAGGGAGATTATCTCGCCAAAACAGAGGCCAATTATATAGAGGCCAATTACAAATGGCGGCCATAGATAAGAACAAGCAAGTGGAGGGCATCTTGGCTACAAGAGAAAGTGTGTCACTATAATCCAGGAACAATTTTTGGGTGTTACCTTTTGCTATGAGACAAGCCTTCAGTTGATCTACTTTGTTGTTAGGACCAACTTTACCCGTGTAACCTGTGGATTGCTTGCACAACCAGGCTCTTATAGTAGTAATAAGAATGGGAGAAAGGGACCTCATTAATTTGGTATTGAACTGTTCATTTACACTGATTCATAATATTAAACCTGACTTGTAATATAATTTGATGGCGGTTGATGGAATCATTTGGACCCAACATAACTGTTGTATCATTTCTAAGTAATATAATTTCTGCTGCCACCTCAAATTTGAAGTTTTTCAGCTACATAAAGAAGTGCCTGAGTAAAATAAAACAAGAAATTTATATTGTAGAATTTTGTGGATAGTGTGCAAATAGGAAAGACAGAAAAAGATGATCAGGTGCTTACCATGCTGGTGCAATTGTTATTTTTACAGCCATAATGTGAATTTTGATTTTGCGCTGTGACTGATCACCCATATGGCTGCAGACGCTCTGCTGTTGTAGATGGCATCATTTCAGAGTATCAGAAGGAAAGGTCACTTACTTACGATGACATTGATAGTGAAGGTGCTAAGATTTATAACATGCTGGAGACTGCTGAAGAACCTGAATTCTTAATGGCAGATATGAGTCGAGAGCAGCTTAATTCTTTTGCTGCATATAAGGCCAAATTAAATGTAAGGTTATGTTTCCTTTCTCAGAAGTCCAAATGAATAAAAATATTTATTGGTTTCACATCCATCTTCAGGCAATCAGACAGTCAGAAATGGAAAAATCAGTGGAGAAAGCTTTGAAAGATGCTGGCTTGGGACATAGAGAAGTCACACCATTTATGAGGTTACGGGTGGTTGGATTAACTTATAAAACACGACAAGACAAGATTAAAGAAGGCATAGTAACGATCTGGAACCCAACTGAGAAGCAGGTGAGGTTGGTTAGCCAATTGCAAGGATTAACTGTATTCCCTAGTGTTTATAATTATTCACTAATTCATTGGTTTAGCTTCGTATACAAATGTTTTTCTAATTCATGCCCAGCTAATTACATACTCTTCTTTTCCTTAATTCCATTACCTTATTGTAAATGCTTGTTGTGGGAATAATGAGATTTCTCACAATTTCTTTATTTTGTGCAACTAATGTGACAGTGTCAGGAATTGGTGGAGGGAGGAGCATATGCAATTGCAGGACTCGTATCATCAGGATCTGATTTTGATATCCTTCACTTGCAGGCTAGGGGTCCTTCTACCAAGTGGCTGCCTTTATCTTCTAATGCAAGGGAGCAGTTTAAGTACATATCTGACAATCTGAATAAGATGGGGGGGGAAAAAGGAATTTCTACATGACTGTATTGTGGTTATGTCACATTCTGAATCCAGCTTATTTTTGTCGTTTGTAGGCCATTTTTCAGAAGTAGAAAATCAATCCCATTGTCAAGTTTGGGTGACGTTCCTCTTTCCAAGTATTTTGGCACTATAGTCTGTTTAGAAGTATCTTTCTGTCATCAAATAAAGAATAGCACGAAAATATTTGACGTTGCCTTGTTATTGCTCTTATACAGTGAGTTTGATATTGCTGCATATGTTGTGCATGTGGGAGAGGTTTATACATCAAGTCAGCAAAAGAAGCAATGGGTTTTTGTGACTGATGGATCCATCATGAATGGACAGTTAGAAAAGTTACTCAACTCGTTACTTGCCATCTGCTTTTGTTCTCCATTGATTGATTATGATTCATTTCCACCAATCAACTATAACCTTGCAGGATCTACGGTAATTACAATGCATTATTGCTCGTTATTGCCATTTTGATCATATCCGTTTTGCATTAAATTGTGATTTATTTCCACCAATTAACTGTGAACTTACTATCATCATTCATATTTTATCAACAGTATTTACTGCTTGATCCTTTCCTTCACACCTTCATCACAAAAGAAAAATGACCTCATAATTTTGGGCATATGGTTGCTTATTAACATATACTGGGAGATATTTCAGATTAGGTTTCAGTGAAGCAATTGTTTCAACAAAATGCCAGCACTAGATGTTTGGGTTGTTCATTTTGCAAAACCTGTCTAAAGTTGGATTACTTCAAAGTTGGATGAAAATTGTGTCTTCATTACATGCAGGTTGGTTTCTGTAATCTTAGAAAAAAGGAAAAGGACCACACAAACCACATCTGGGTTGCTGATGCCACTCAAAACTCGACCTATTATTTGAATTTTGATTCTCCCCATTGTTCGCACCTAAAAAATACGGCCACCTCTGTCAGAAAATGGGCAAACAATTCTAGTTTGGTATGCATCATAAACTCTACCGCATCCAAATGCACACGATGCAATTCTTTATGATGACATTTTTTTCGTGTTTCGTCAGATAATAGAGAAACTCAAGCAAAAGGCGTTGTATGTGGTAGGTGACGATTGTAAAGCCTAGTGGAAAAGAAAGCTGAACTGAAGGTTTTCCTGTCTTTAACTTGTCAGCATCATCACTTGAGTTAATCTCACAGCATTTACTTTTATTTTTGAGTTCTGGTTTTGGTGGTTCCCATTGAAAATTAAAATGATCGTTGTTGAATTAAGGAAATGTAAATTTTGTCAAGAGGATATTTCTATGCAATTTTTTATGTAGGATGGGCTAAAATAAAGGAAAATGGATACATACTATCAGAAGAACATCGAGGAGAGACAATAAAATGTAAAACTCCAAAATGTAAAAGGAGTCCATGTACATGGTAATCTTGACATAACGTGCAACTCACATAATGCGAGGTGGGTCATTGGTTTAATGTTTTTTTTTTTTGGCGTTATTTTTTGTTTCCTAATCACACCATCTCCCTTCTTTTGGAAACGACTTTAAAAAGTAGTAGTTACTTTCAGAAATTAAATTTTGAAAGTCAGTTCTGCAATTAAAATTTCTTATTGCTGGTGCAAAGACACTAAGATGTACTAGTATTTCACCCGGGATCATGACAGTTTGACGGTCTAACCAAATGAATTATAGGATATATTATAGTAATAGTTAATACTATTATTTTTTTAAAAATATTTTATTTTGGTTTAATTTAATTTTTTATTATACACTTTTAAAGTAGTTATAAGAACAAATTTACTCTTGTTAAATTTGATTAGTAAATATATAATCTAAAATATAATTTAATATTTAGTTTAAATTATTTATTATTATTTATTTAAATTATTTTATTGTATTTTTAATTCAAAGATTTTTAGATTAGAAAGTTTTCAAAATCAAATATTAACTATTACTCTAATTTTTCTAAACAAATATTTATAAAATATAGTAAATATTATTATTTTTATTTAAGATATTTTATTTTAATATAATTTTATTTTAGATTATGAATTGTTAGAGTAATTATAGAAAAAAAATTTAATTTTCTGTAAAATTATAGAAAAATTACAATTATATAATTAAAATAAAATATTTAGATATTATAGAATTGATTATTTTTACTATTTTTAATCATTATAAGTGCTATTAGTGTGAGTGTGACTATTATTTTTTTAAAAAACTATAAAAATGATCATAAAAAAATTATAGAATATATTATAATAATTAATAAATATTATTATTCTTGTTTAAGGTATTTTATTTTTTTAATTTTATTTTTGATTATGCAATGTTAGAATAATTATAAGAATTTTTTTTGTGTTAAACTTAATTATAAAATATTATTTGTTGTTTTTTATTTAAATTATTTTTTTGTATATTTAATTTGAAAGCTTTTTTTATTATTAGAAAATTTTTAAAAAGAAATATTAATTATTACTTCATAATTTTCTTGAACAATTATTTTTGATTTTATTGTATGTGATTCGAAGATTGTTTTATTATTAAAATTTTTTTAAAAAGAATTATATGGTATATTATAATAGTTAGTAAATATTATTATTCTTATTTAAAGTATTTTATTTTGATTTAATTTTATTTTTAATTTTATTTATAATTATACACTATTAAAGTAATTATAAAAAATTTTCTCGTGTTAAGTTTAAATAAAAAACATATAATATAAAATATAATTTAACATTTAGTTTTATTTATTTATTTATTTTATTTAAATTATTTTATTGTATCTCTAATTCAAATATTTCTATTATTATTATAAAATTTTTATTAAGAAATATTAACTATTACTCTATAATTTTTCTATACAATTGTATCTTTAATTCAAAAAATTTTTATTATTAAAAAGTTTGTAAATATTATTATTTTTGTTTAAAATATTTTATTTTGATTTAATTTTATTTTTGATTATGTACTCTTAGAATAATTATAAAAAAAAAAAAATTCTTTCATGTTAATCTTGATTAGAGCAAGGAGAATAAAAAAAAAATAAAAAATAAATAATGAGTTAAAAATGTAATGATATATTATAATTTCAATGTAATACAAAAATTATAATTGAACAAGTACCAAATAATATGCAATGCGTATGGACCTAGTATACAACTCATATTTCATGCAAACAATATACAAGTTATTCTTTTGGATGTGCTAATCGGAAGGATATGATTCATATGTGTGGGACAACTATCACCAAGTTACTTTCTTGGTCTCAAAATTTATTATAAAACACTTTATCATTAATTTAGATAACATAATTTTATATATTGTGACAAAAAAATAAGAAAAAAAGAAAATTAAGTTTTACTGAGCACTATTTTATTATTTTTTATTTCTATTTCGCATTAATTTCATGAAAATTGTTGTAAATTTTTTAGGTAAACTGTGTGTTTTAGGTATCTTACTCTAGAAACGTAAATAAATAAAAAATAAATATATACTTATTAATGATAAATATTAATTATTATACATAATTTATTTAGAATTATTACTATTTATATTATATGTTAATTAACCCTCTTATATGTTAAAAGTTTTAACTTTTGAGAGGATGAATAATTTTTAAATTAAAATTTTATTTCAGTTTTAACACATAAAAGATTTATTGATAAATAATATAAATAATAATAATAATTTTTAATAAAATATATAATATATATTATTAATAAGTCATCAAATATTTATTTTTTTTGTTTATTTACATTTTAGAGTATGGAACTTGTAATTTTTTTAAGGTACTATACCAATTTTTAATGCATTGATAAAATTTTCTTTAGGTATGAAGTCTTCAGAGTAAGCAACGAAAAATGTTCGCATAAAGTCCAATCACTTTGGCAAGTTTTGGAGGCTGACAGTGATGACACCACTGCTTTGAATAGTGACTCATTGTTTTGACCAGTCAAGATTAAAGTCAATGTTATTGCTCTAAAAAATTTAGGCAACAACCGGTTTTGCAAAGCCCTAACCACAGAGGGCAAGACTAACTGCCTTTTAAGCCCAAGTGGCTGAGGTTGATAAATGGTCTCATCTTCAAATGTATAGGAAAATCTATGACGTAACATTCCACATAGAGAATGCCATGATCTATAACGTATCAGGCGAAACTACCATGACTAAGAGCAATACTTGGAAGGCATCTCATGCTTGGTCCGTGGATGTTTCCACCACCATAAAAACAGGTATCCCAATTCTGGTAGAAGGAGCAATTTCAATTAGTTCGTCATATTCAGGAGAATATTATTGGCAGAAGAAACTGTGAAAGTATCAACCAAAATCAGTACAAATTTGACTGTAAAAGTTTTGCCAATGGCCACGACAAAAGTAACTCTGATAACAACAAAAGAAGCCATAGACTCCCCTTCTCATACTCAACGTAACACTCTTCTCAGTGGAAAAATTGTAACGTCACCATTTGATGATCGCCTGTCAACACCTATTTAAAAAATGACGGTCGTGGAGCAGAGTCTTCCTTTGACTACAAAATAGATAGTATTTGTTAATTGCTTGCTTGCAGGTTGTTTATGATACTCTATAGACCTTCAAAGGTTCTTGTCATTTTTCAAGTCTTCTGATTTCACGAGTTTCTCATGCTTTATAGTAAGACCCAATTATAGTTGGTTTACTGTTAATAAGATCATCTTGATTGTATCTTTGCTAAAAACTTCATCAAAATATGCCTTGTTTGTCATTCCAATTTATGTTAAATCCATGTGTGCAACCCATGCCATGTATACTTGGGATTGTTAAATTATTAATTAAATAATATGAATGCCATCATATTTTGAATTTATTTTTTACTTTTTATATTATTAAATATAAAATTATTTACATGTCAAATTAAATATTATTAAACATAATTAACTAATCAAGCAATTAAAATATAAAAATTTTAATTGAAAATTTTTAAATCAAATTATTGTCAGGTTATTTGAATCTCTTGTAAGGTAAAATTAAATTTTGTAAATGAGTTAATTTTATGAATTCAATTAAAATACATTATCAATGTAAACAAAAAGTTTTATATATCTGCTTAATTATATTGCATCATTTTGTCACATTATAATTATTTTTAAAATAATTATTATGATGTGACAAGATAATGAATTATGATTCACCTTTTGTGTAAAACTATTTTATACTAACAATGTGTAGCTATTAAATTCTAATTTATTTTATCATAATATTAATTAATTAAATGGTTAGGTTGACTTTTGAGTTTAATTCATTAATTTAATCATGTCTAAGTTAGCATACACTATACTTTGTCTTATTTTTTTTTTATTTTTAAATTGATTATACATAAATAAATATTCAGTTAATTACTTAAGTGATATAATATTATTATAATATATGAATACCTAATTTTTTTTGATTCTCTTTTAAAAATAAATTTTAAAATAAAAAATTAATTATAATGATTTTGTAACATCTTTTTTTCATTTTTTAGTAAATTATGTTTTATTTAATATTAAGTTGCATTAGAGTGCATTTAGAAGGAATTATAGAGGGTTTTTGTACGGACTCTGGTGCAGAGGATCTCGAGGTAAATCTCGCTCAGGCGAGGTAAATCTCGCCCAAGCGAGATTGAGTGTGCAGATATATATTGTTGCAGGGCTATCTTGCTCAAACAAGATGATTCTCGCTTAAGTAAGATGATTCTCGCTCAAGCGAGATAAAATAAATGCAGCTCAATTGTCACCTCGCCCAGGCGAGATAGGTCGCTCAAACGAGGACTCACACAAAAAAATATCATGTTCTCTGGACGCCATCTTGCTCAGGGGAGATGGAGCTCGCTCAAGCGAGCATATCAGAAAAGAGTGTGCGAGACCACTGTCTGCATATCTCGCTCAGGCGAGATACCCGTCGCTGAAGCGAGATATTGTCGCTCAAGCGAGTTGTCCCTCGCTCAAGCGAGCTGTCCCTCGCTCAAGCGAGCTGTCCCTCGCTCAAGCGAGCTGTCCCTCGCTCAAGTGAGAACGCACGGGGCTGAGGGGTATTTAAGAAATTCCTTGCATGGAAATCTCATTTGTTTCCGAACTCACGTCTCTCTCTCAAGTTTTCTATGAACTCTCTCTTTCTTTTACCTAGATAAAAGCCTTAAAAACTTCGATTTATCTTCAAAGTCAAGCTTGGACGTTAAAGTTAAGCAATTCTAAGTAAGTTTTTTCAGATTAAACTTGAGTTTCTCCGATCGTTTTCCTGTTTTTGTTCCTTATGGATATCTCTTAATATTTAGGAGAACTTCTATAATTGACCCTTGATCCTTTTCAATATCTCTCCGTAA